TTTTTACAATCGAAGTAGGAATTTAACCGCACGGCAGCCACACTGACCAAGGGCTGTGTGTGCACCTCCCTCACCACCTATGCCCTCCTTCACAGACTCTCCCAGGCCACACCAGGTCCCTTCTCAGGACCCTCACTCCTTGCATTTTCCTCCATTGTGGCACCCATCTCCTGCTCTCACCCCAGCCAGAGTTTCTGAGAACAGAGACCACATCTGGGTGTCCCAGTGCAGTCACCAGCGCTGGGCAGATGCTATGAAGAGCGACCTCCAGGAGGCAGGACGCCAGAGCCGGCCCAGCCCGCAGGTGCAGGCATACGCACCTCTCAGCCAGGGTCTGCTGCTCGTTGATGCCCACGTTGAAGAGGACTGGCTGCACACGCAGCAGCATGCCGCTTTGGATCTCCCGTGGCAGGGTGTCAAAGAGTGGGCCTGGCAGGGGGATCCGCACATTAAATCCATCCCTGGAGAAGAATGAGACAGGAGGAGCGGTGTGAGCCTGGTAAGAGGGCAAGGTGGGCGAAGGCCCGAGCAGCAGGGAAGCCCTTGGGTCTGTGACATCCAAAGCCCAGATGGACCTTCAAGGGGGAGGAATTACAGCAGGGGCTGCAGCCAGGGTTTTTAACAGAATGCAGCAGAGTGAAAATAAACCGGAAGTGTGCGCCCCATGAGACAGACACAAAGGAAGAACACTGCTCCGGTGCAGACTTTAGGTGGACATTTCTACCGATTTCCTGTGATGACAGGCAGCATGTCCGCTGACGCGCTGGAAGAGGCCTGCGTGACTTTAAAGGTCACATTCCTCAAGTCCATGATTCCCAGGCTCATGTCCTCCAGCATGGCCAGCTCCTCACCTAGACAGAGAGGGAAGGAGGCTGTCTATCAGGTGCGGGGCTCACTAGGCTCCCCACGAATGGTGTGGACTCGAGGGGTCCAGGTGCAGACAGCCTCTTGAGCCCCAAATGCTGCTGTCACCCCACCCCCACATTACAGGGCCCTGTTGGAAAAAGGTGTCAGCCTTCTCAGTCCTTCTGCACCAAGTACCAGCCCAATCATGGGAAGGACACAGAAATGCACAGGGCAGACAGCAATGCCGGCTCTCCAGGACTGAGATGAGAAGCCACGGGGCAGCCCTGATGTCGTCACACCCGTGCCACGTAGGGCTGCACATCTGTGAGCCTAGAGTGCCGAGGCTCACAAATACCTTTAGCAATGGCTCAGAAGAAATAAACAGGAAGCAAGGCTGTGGAGAAGACAGCCTCCCTAGAGGGTGGTCTGGAAATCGCTGTTGTATTTTAAAGCCTTTGCCCTTTGACCCAAGGACTCTTCCTATTGCTAGGACCTTCTGTGTGCAGGGTTGCCGCACAAGTTCCGTTGGATCAACGCAGAAACAACCCAAATAGCCTAAAGGAAATGCCTGGCCGAACAATCACCATCCTGCCTGGAGATGTGCAGCAAAGAACGGCAGCCACACTGACCAAGGGCTGTGTGTGCACCTCGCAGAGCTCCGTCTGGCTCCTGCGTTCACCTCAGTCTCGGGGATGGAAGGTTGGGATCAGGCTCTCACCGTAGGTGCTCAGCAGGCTCTCGAACTGGGCCAGCAGCCCGATGGTGTAGAGCTGCCGCAGGAAGCCGTCGTCGTGCAGGCAGTTCCGCAGCTTGATGATGAAGCCACAGATGAGGGCTGTCAGCTGCGGGACAAGGGTGCACAGTGTGGCCAGCGGCGGGTGGCTATGCGAGCCTCGTCCCCGAGTTTCTGTTGCTTGGAGGGAGGCAGCAGCCCCTCTTGCACCTGGGGGCTCTCTGGAATTGGGGCCACAGTGGGCTGAGGCCATGGGATGGACACGGGATACTGAGTTTGCTGTGCTGTCGCTCTGGATGGTGGGCGTGCTTTAGGCCTAGCTTCTGCCCAGCGCCCAGCATCATTCCAGGGCTAGAACCTTCTGGAAGCCTAGAGTACTTGCTCAGAGTGAAGGGCTGTCCACTCAAGCTTCACCCCACCTCCAGCTAAAGACTGTCAGTCACAGCAGGGGATGTGGAACAGGCCGCCAGGTGGAGATGGGACTGCAGAGCAGCAGCTCCACCTGGCAGCGCTGTTTGCTCTACTGTCCCCATTACCAGTACCTGCTAACTTGTAACAAGCCACAAGCAAGGGGGCCTGCTGTCTTTGTTGGCCAACTGGCCTCTGTGTCCACTGCCTTCTTGGGGAGGGCGAAGCCTGTCTGTGGCAGCTCTTCGAGGGAAAGGAGTTTCTAGGCACCCCCAGCCTGTTTGAAAGCTAGCTTCTCTATGACAAAAATACCAGGCAGTTTGGTTTGAAACTGACTCACTGCTATTTGTTTCTCAATAAAATTATGGAAAAAAAAAATACCAGGCAGGAGGCAAAATGACCACCTGATGTTTGTGCAAAAGAAGGGAGGAGGCAAAGGGCTGGAGCTATTCCTTCTGAGGAAGAAGGGTGTCCACGGTCCCCCTCACGGTCCTCCAGGGGCTTACAGTTTGGCAGAAGACCACGTCGCGGCGGTATTGTAGGCTCAGGTAGGAGGCAATGGTGGGGGCGCTGTCCTGCATGAGCAGGAAGACCATGGCCTTCTTGGCCTTGTCACTCATCATGGCCACGCAGTCAGTGAGGGTGGTCAGCAGCGGGTAGAGGGCCTCGCTCCATTCACCTGGCACAACGAGGGAGCCACCGTGATCAGAAAGAAAGGGCTTGGGACTAAGACAGCAAGTCACAGGTCGCCTCGCCTGTCCTCCCCTCCTCACTCCATGCTGTCTGCATCTTCTGACTCTGCCTGGCCCACCCTCTGCCCCGGAACTGGCCCCAAGGCTGCCGCAGCCCACCTTGGCTCTAGCCCTCCAGCCACAGTATCTCCATTAACCTCAAACGCAAGCTCTGCGTGGGTGCCTCCAGCACAGCGCTGGCTCCCAAAATACTGGGGCCACGTCCGCACACAAATAGGCATTTGCTCCCCTCTGCTTGGGAACACTCAGCCTATTCAGGAAGACAGCAGAAGGCTTTGAAAGCCATGACAATGCCCTAGAGGGGTTCTTCTGGCAGAGGCCAGCCACCTTCCACAACACAAGGCCTCTATCTGGGCAGAGGACACCCTGAGAGGTCCTCTGATACCTCCTTCCTCCTGACCAGGTAGTAAGTGGTGACCTTGTCCTTCTGGGGCAAAAGACTCACTCTGCCACTGCTGGCCTTGTGCACTACTGTGTTAATTTCTCACCTCCATGCTGTCTGTGTCCCTCCTTCTGCACTCCCTGTCCAGTGCCTCCTCACTGCCTGCTGCCTGCTATTTCTAGCTTACTTTTCTTTCAGCAATATAAGGAAATCTGGACCCTGTACCAAAACAATTTTTCAGTAAGACCTCAGGGGAAAAAAACAGAGTGAGGGTATCTTTGACTCTGGCTCTTTTCCCCTTTCTATTTGGAAGGCATTAAGAAAGACATACCACCCCTTATCCATTATATTTTTAGCAGGTTAGTAAGCCCAGAATAGGCATTTGCTCCCCTCTGCTTGGGAGCACACTACCCCACTCCCAGCTACAGGTTGAGGTGACAGCCAGCAGCAGCCACCAAAACAGGTGAGTCACAGCAGGCCCCGCACCACTCCCCCAACAGGGTGACCTCCACCCTCGAGGAGAGAAGAGAGCCCTGGCTCTGTTCTCACAACCATCCCATCGGCACTCCACTGGAAAGTCAACAGAGGCGCGCTGGGTGGGGCACACTCAGGGTCTGTGGTGTGTGGAAGAGGCACGTCCCAGCCCAAAGATGGGAACCTATCTAACGGGACACACCTTATGTAGACAGGATTTATATCCGTAATAAAAAAAGCAGGCTTAAATTTAGAAAGTCTGCAGTAGCAAGGTCTTAGTGAATAGGCATGGTGAAAAAGAGCACCGGGCTGGGAAGTGGAAACTGTGAGGCCAGGGCTGGCGCCTCGGCGCGGGGCCCTCGACCCTCAGCCCAGGGGCCTCTGCAGGAACACGATGCGCAACACTGAGCAAGAGCCTGGCTTCTCTGTCCCACTATGACTCTCAAGTTTCTGTTTCATTGAAGAACTCTGGGGAATGCCTGACAATGACAATCAGCACCTATCAAAGTGGTCCAAATGGCTCCAGATTTTGCTAGTGAAATAGTCTGGGAGGGGCAGGCAGGCGGTCTCCTCACACTGTTCTGCACCAAGAAGTGAACGCACTGGAGAGCACATGCTGCTCGTTTTCTTTGGCTTTTCCAGTTAATATACATACAACGAGTACGTAAATCATGACCACTGAACGTGAAGTGATCAGAACGTATGTGTACTACAGGCTTAGTGAGCTCAGCCACGCCTTTCCATGCAATGTGCTCACTTTGTCCACTTTTCTATAAAAATTCCTGTCACAATGGTTTTGTTTTGTACATCAGGGAAAAGAAGAACAACAAAATTGGAGTACAGGAAGAATGGCTGTGAGGACGGAATGTCCTAGGAAAGCTGGGAGGGAGATCAGGTGACATCTGCCCAGAGGGGCTCACACTCCAGTGGGGCAGCTGCTGTGTCTACCAGCACCTTCAGCTCTTCTAATTCCCTGGCCTTACCACTGGAAAGAAACAGCCCCAGTAAGATCGGGCCTCCCAGACATTCCCTGTACTTGTCTGACTGACTCCAAGGTCCGTGCTATTCCTACCAGTTCAGCCTACTTCTGTGGTGGAGGAAAAGTGATGCATTTTTCCAATCTGAGGAGAAATTCATAATGAAAATATCTCAAATAAGAAAACACGATTTATACCCAGGCCGGTGTCTGGGATGTTGGTGCTGGTCAAGGCTTTACTATTTGCTTTCTTTGGTGAGAAAGTCTTGCTATTCAAAACAGTCAACCCCAGGGCTGGCCAGATAGCTCAGTGGACTAAAGAGCCTGCTTAGGCAAACGCAGGGACTGGGATTTGATCCCCAGCATGCTGTGTCGGCCCTGCCCATGGGGCGCATTGAGATGGCTACTGAGACTACGCATGATAGCACATGCCTGTAATCCCAGCTCTTGGGAGGTTGAAAACAGGAGGATCACTATGAGTCCGATCTGTGTAGTGAAACCCTGTACACCCTGTACTAAATACTTTAAAAAAAAAACAAAAATGCAACGCAACTAAGCAACATCTCAAGGAATGCAGGTGATCCACCCTGTGGGACAAATGCTTTACCTAGCTGCCAGCCTGTAGCACTTGGCTAGTAGTCAATCCATGGGTCACACCACTCAAGGTCATTGGAAAGAGCTCTTTCAAATCCTCACATACATTTTGTTCTTTCATTAGTAGGGGAGTGGGGGAGAGAGAAAGATTTAGGCCACTCTAAATATTGTAATACAGTGCCACAGGGTCTCTTGACAGGAGACCACTTTAGTCCATTTAATAGCAATTGTGGAAAAGCCACCAGTGCTTCTGGACACGACACAGCTGACATAAAGCAAAAAGAGAGCTCAACAAGCCAGGAGCTGACTGTGCCCCGACTTCCAGTGGGCTCCACAGTGTCAGGAAAGCCCATAGACCACAGTGACTTTATGGGAACAGACACCGTGAAGCTGAGGGAGAACTGAAGGATGAGCTGCTGACAAGCCGGCTCCAAGTGGGGTCCTGGGGTCGCTGCCAGGAGCCGCTATGGGGATCGCAGTGCTGTGTGAGCAGACCTGAGGGAACGGCTCAGCGAGTCCTGCCACAGCCGGCCGAGAGGGCAGGTCTCCCGCCACCTCACCTCTACCCACTCGGCAAGACGCAGTCATTAAACTGATCACGTAGCTAATTTTTGGAGTTTAAGAAAAAATAAGCAAGCCGTATTATTTGGGGCTCATGCACGCTGTGGGAGAACCACAAGCCACATCCAGGAAGCTCAGCATGAACTAGTTCAGGGGTTGGCATGCATTTTCTGTAAAGGGGAGACAGTAAATACCTCAAGTGCTGAAGGCCATAGGGCCTCTGTCACAACGAAGTCTGATGCTGCCACACAAAGGCAGCCCCCCAGGATATGCGAACAGGATATGTGACTGGTTTCCCATAAAATAGTGTTTGCAAAAGCAGGCCGAGGACAGGATCTAGCTCAGCAATGCAGTTGGCCAACTCCTGAACTAGAACCACAAACGCTGGATTCTACATGCAAATGCAGGAAGGAGATTCCACTTCTGATCGCCACTGAGGCCCATTGCCGTGTCTGGTAAGTACTGCAGAGCACCACTGATGTTGTGTGATTGCAGAGGCCACGCGCTTCTGGTGGACTCTTACGACCTGACTGCCTTCAGGGCTCTGCTCACGGGTTTGGGTTAATGCCCAGGACGTGTTCACAAATGTGAAGGTCCCCGACTGGAGGAAGCCCAACACAGTCATGAATGTGAATCCTCTGAAAAGGTTTTAGGATATAAGAGCTGAAAGATGAGGAGGGGGAGGGAGGAGAGAGGAGAGGGAGGAGACAGAGGGCAAGAGGGAAGGAAGGGGTGAGGGAGGGAGGGAGGGAGGGAGAGATGGAAAAGGACGGAGGGAAGGAAGGAGGGAAAGCGGGGGGGGGGGCAACAAAACAAAATAAAAGCAAACCACACACATGGTATTCTGCTTCAGGCCACAGTCCCTTTAGCCCAGCTGGTCCCTCACCAAGCCTCACAACAAAGACGTCCTAGACTATTTCCCCAACTGTGGAACGGAAGTCACGTCGGATAATTCAGGTACAAACACTACCCAAGTATTACCAAGACATCAGCGGAGCCTGGAACAGAATCACATACCTGGGCTGGACTCTTCAGGAGGGGGGCTGCAATCTGCACAGAAATGGAGGGCAACAGGGATGATTAAGGAGCAGACACAGATCATACACAGCAGTCACGCTTACAGCGGCTGCAGCAGCAGCTCGCGGTAAGGCACCAAGGGCCTCTTCCCCGAAGCCTCGCCAAGGCGCTAGCTGCCCGAGGCAGCAGAGTCCTCTCAGTGTGTGCACAGCACTGATTTGTCAGCACTGACATTCATGTTGCTCATATTTCAACATAAAATGTTCTCTAGATGAGTGATCCAACACAGTACAACGTGATGCATGCCACACGCAGAAGCACGCACATAATGACACGGGAGTGATGGAGCCCACGGTAGCTCACGACACCTGAGGACAGAAGCTGACCAGTGCACCCAGTCTTGCCTAGTGGGAGCCATGGCCCTGGAGTCCTGGCAGGCCTGGCTTCAAGCCAGACCACTGAGACCCAACAACACACTCTAGCCTGGTCTTTATGACCTAACTAAATGGAGAAGTAGCGCCGCTTGGGGGTGTTCTCCAGGTAGAACTCTGTCAAAGAATACAGTTCTCTTCTACTTAGCTACAACTGGGTTGCTTCCGTTCACGTTTCCCTTAAAAACTCTAAAATTCCCAGGGAACTGGTGTGCCATTGGAGAGATAAAAGCTTGAGAAGGAATCCTGGCGTGAACATTCACGTCACATTATATCTGAGTCTGTCAGTTAAAGAAAGGCTTCAGGGGATTGAAATGGGTGGTTCCGGATTCCCAAGACCAGCCACACCAGCTTCAGAGAGCTGTTTACAGCCTGCACTGGGGTGAGGGGGGCAGCAGGAGGGCCTCACTCTCTAGTCTTACTTGGACATGGCCTAGAGGAACAGAAAGTGCAAAAGCCCCTGTGGGGTGCAGAGCTCGACCTCTCTGTTGGAACCCAAGTACCCTGGGACCACCAAGCTAATACAGAGAGGAGCGCAGCAAGGAGGGCTGAGTGGGAGTGACTCTAAGTCTCTGTTCTGCAAGTCAGAGTCCTCGGGGCTTGGGAAACACACAGCTGCCCCTTGGACCCCTCCTCTAGGCTCCATGCCTCCCAGTGGGGAGCAAGGTCCAGGTGCCTGTGTTGGCAGCTTCCAGGGGACCTCAAGAGTAGGGTCTGGGCCATTCCTGTTGCTTCATCTGGGACCAAGTGCACTTTCTAAACTCATCTTCCACCCAAAGAAGAGAGAGAAGGGGTCACTGTGGTCCTCCGGGACCAGGAGTGTCTACTTTGTTATGGGTTGCAGGGCCCTTCAAGATGTCATGACTGTGGGCTTTCTCTCCATGTCCACGCAAACCTCAGACTGATCTTAGGGGTGCCTGAACCTGGGGTACAAACATAAGACACCAGGTTAACAAACCCTGGGGTGGGGCCTGAAGGACTCGGGCGTGGCACTGGGGGAGAAACACGGAGGGAAGAGCCACATGGGGGTCTCTGTGGCTCAGTGTCCCCCTTGGGTCCTGGCCCTAGCTGGCCCCCGCAGTTCTCAGGACAGTGAGCTGGAAGGCAGGAACACCAAGGACCTGGCCAGGCAGAAACGTGAGGAGGATCCCGGGGTCACAGAGTTGTGCTCAGTTAATAAATAAGTTGAGGTGAACATGACTTGCTCACGTGGCCAAGATCACCGCTCCCTAACCTGGGGCAGCATGAAGTCCCTCTGGAGCCATGGGAACAAGCGAGTCCCCAGACGGCTCCTGGGTAGTTCTTCCTAGTCCTCCTGATCACAGTGGAGCCTAAGGCTTCCCGGCCACGCCAGCCATTACACTAGGGACGGTGCCTGGTCCTTCGGTGCTGTGCGAGCTCGGAGGCCTCTGTGCACTAAGCAGCAGAGCGGGGCTGCCTCATGCATGCTTCGTGCACCCACCACCACCACGGGGCCAAGGCCTGGCACTGAGGACAAGTCAGACTCCACATAACCCAAAGAAACGCACTTGAATAACGCGAAACCAGATTTGAATGGGTCCATACTTAAACAGCATGAGGTGTGCCTGGATGACAATACGTAGCTTACGGATCCGCAGCACATCTGCACAATGTACAAACTAGCTCCTGAACTGTGAAAAATCCAATAAATTACTTTATACACTTATAGAAAAAAATTAAAAAATGCAAGATATATATATATATATATGTATATATATACATATATATATATATATATATTTTATAAATGAGTTACACTCACGCCTCTACAAATAATATTAAATAGTAAAGAAAAATAAACTTTCAGAAAAATTTAAAAAGAAACAACTTACATAAAGAAAAAGCAACAACAATGAAAAGGAGAACACAACAGAGACGAGAAGCTCTATAAACCAGCCACAGTCTGGGGATGTTACATGGATGATGTGAAGAAGGGGATGTTACACGGAAATGGACTCAGTGGGACACAGCCCTGGAAACAGACTGCAGGAGCTGCAGGGGCCATGGCCACCTCAGATACGAAGGATAGAGCGAGGCTCCGCGATGCAGGAGCTCTGCTATGGACGGGAGCTGCCCAGCTGACCCAGCGCACCAGGCCCTACAGCACCCTGCCTGCTCCCAACCCCCTCCAGCTGCTACAGGAGAAGGCAGGCGGCACTCGAGAGGCCAGGACTGGGATCCACCTGTTTAAAAGTGTGCAGCCCCCAGCTCTAAGGCTACTGCAGGCAGGGGGTGGGGATGGGGGTGCCCAAGTCTCTGAGGAGAGAAGCCCGTTCTGAAGCGAGCTGTCTTGGGGCTTGGTACTACCAGCTCCTGAAAGCCTCCTAGGAAGGGCGGTGCTGGAGAAGAAACACAGTCCTCCTGAGACCCAAGTGTCTGACTGACTTACAAGTCCCCAAGCTATGAGGCTCCTACAGGTAAGAACATGCCCAGCTAATGATGACCGACTTTGGGCACACGTTCTTTGGGGCTGGCTTGTTTCCCCCACCCAGCAAGGTCACTCACCCAGGACCTTTCCCTCAATTCCACCAGTTCCTAGTACAAAGAGCACCACACTGGAGGGACCTGCCCCTCAGCTTCCTTTGGGTTTTCAGGTTGGTTTACAAACCTACAAAGCCTGGTGGGCCTGGCTGGCAGTATGACTGTGGAGGACACCGCAATCTGCCTGTGGCAGAAAGGCAGATTCACGCATGGACTCCAGCTGCACATGGAACAGCAGGGAATGCGGGTCTCCCACCCTCCTGCCCCTGCCCCATGCCCTGAGTCAGCCCTGCTCAGCCTTCTGGCCCTCCCTGCAATCTGCCTAGAGTCAGAGACACAGACAAACGATGGGACACAGTGTGTGGTGGAGGCAGCGTGGAAAATGTAGACGCATACGCACGTGTGCTCGGGTGAGGACGGCATGCAGCAGTGGGCATGGAGGAAGGACATGGCGAGGAGGGGGCATCGCAGAAGGGGTCTTCCGGTCTGATCCAGTAGGCATGGCTGTCGCGGTTACCTTTCTTGCTGGAGCAGCTGCCGGCACAGGGGAAGACGTCCTCGCAGCCCTCGCCGTGCAGACGCTCCTTCTGCAGCAGCTTGTCCACCCGCTGGATGATGCACTCCAGGCTCTTGTCCACGTTCAGCCACACTTTCTCCTTCCAAAGCGACAGGACCTGGGGGGTCAGCTCTCCCGGTGGGAAACCAAGGCAGAACACAAACCACGCCCTCCACTGTCCCCACCCAAGGCTGCCTGCTCATTACAGAAGCACAAGGAAGAACAGATTCCTATTTCCTATCAAAGCTGTATTGGCTTTTTAATGACCAATGATGTCTGTGGTCACTGCTTTGAAAGTCCAAGACACGTCTGCCAGTAACCCTGGAGGACAGAGCACCTTCAAAGCCACCAGCAGGCTCTCAGGGCACCAAGGGCCGGCCTCTCTTCTCCCCACTCCGCTGCAGGATGCCTTCAGGCAGCACACAGACCATACCAAGGGGCTCTCAGCTGGGAAGGAATGGAACCGGCTGGCCAATGGTGCTGGGGCAACTTATGCAAACCGACACAGTCCCAGATGTCCAGGCCAGAGGAGCACTGCGCTGCAGTGAGTACTGCAGTGCTGCCCTGAGCACAGCCTCTCTGCAGGTGCTCCACATGGGACAGTAAGGAGCTGTTCCATGGGTCCGTCCCTCAAGAGACGCAGACACTGTCTCAGGGCCCACGGTGTGGGGAACAGCGATGCGACAGACAGTGTCTGGGCAGCAGCACCAGCCCAAGCTCCCAATCTCCAAAACTGCATATAGTCCCAGTGCTGAGAAGAGGCTGGGCTGGTCACAGGCAGCCAGGGACTCAAAGGCATAGCTGGCAGAAGGAGCAGAGAAGGCTCTAGCAGGGCAGGGCCCAGGGAGAAAACTATCTCCTGGCCGAGCAGGGCGGCAGCAAGTCCAGCTCAGCACCATCAGCCTCCCTATTTGCACATGGTGGCTGCAGTCTCCTCCCCTCAGCAGGTGGCCCGAGCACCACCTGGGAGGAAACCCTGGACCTTATGCAACCTCTTGGAACCCAACTGCCAGGCACCCCATAGGCAGAGATAGACAATAAGCTCTGTAGTTCTTGCCCCAAGCTCAATGGCAGGTGATAGCCAGAGGGAGCAGACTCACCCACTCCTCCTCATGCCAGTCCACCTGCAGGGAAGACCGGCTGTTCCTCCCTGTCCACCTGGCCATGAGCGTGTCCTGGTCGTTTCGAAGCATCACCTGCTCCTCCTCAGTCGAGGTGGGGGAGGCCTTCGAGGCGATATAGTCAGGCCGTGCAGCGTTCAGCCCATGGATGGAGTTGGCCAGCAACTTGCAGTCGCAGACAGTGACCAGCTGCCGGGTCTGCCAGGGCACAGAGCAGAGCTGCTGGGCCTGCCTTCTCTTGCAGCAGGAGACGGCTGAGGCCTGGCAATCCTGTCTTCCCCTACTCCATGGGGCCAAGCAGCTAGAAAGCTGAATCTTAGAGGACGTCTGAGAGAAACAGCTCAACATGACCTGCTAAAGCTGAGTCTCAGCAAGCCTTCTTCGACCCCAGCCTGCCCTCAAGCCCGCTTGTACAGCGGATCCACCCTCCCAGTCTTGCAGCTGTGTGAGCACAAGGAAGGACTTAACACACTGTAATGAGCAACAGCAGGTCATAGCCGCAGAGCAAGTGTGGGTGAGGGTGTGTGTGTGAGAGAGAGAGAGAGAGAGAGAGAGAGAGAGAGAGAGAGAGAGAGAGAGAGAGAACACTGAGAAAAACAGCACTCTTCACAAAGGTTTCAATATGGAGTAATACCCATTTTCTAACCAGGACTGAGTTACTGATTACATACAAGCCAGTAAGGTTATACTGATCTTTGCTTATGCCTGTGTAAGTTTCTTTTTTAAAAATTCAACTACAATAGAAATGTGGCCCCAAAAAGTGCTAATGAGGCCATCCCTGTCTTGGCCCCAGTGAGGCAAGCCCAGGGACTCGCGGAGGACACCTCTGCACGACCTGACAGGCAGGAGGCTCTGCCCGGGCTTGCCCAGTTCTGGGACCACAAGAAGCCTCCCTGGGCTTTGGAGGAAGAGACTCTCAGTGTCATCCTGTCACTGTGAGGACAGCTCAGGGGACACCTGGCTGTCCTGCAGTGCCCTCAAGGAGCCCCCACCCTCACAGCGCCCCTACCTTGTCTGCCAAGATGGCGAGCGTCCTCTCGAGGCCAGTGGCCGACCTGTCCTTGGCCGCCCTTGAGAGCCGCTCTGCGTAGTAACTCACTTGGGTTTTCAGGGTGTTGATCTGGGCGATGATCTCCTTGGCCCTGACGATGTCCTGTGGGATGTAGACGATGGACTGGCAGCTAGAGGAGGTACTGAAAGGACAAGAGCAGTTCAGGCGGCCTCTTGAATCCCAAGAGGGTGGCAAAAGCCGCCCTACCTGGCCCGCAGCTAACCCCAAAACAGAATTCTTTGTTTCCTGGGCCGGTCCAGCTGGGGATTGGCAAAAGGAAAGCTTGGCCAGTCTTTCTCATCTATGTGGTAGAAGCATAAATGGGAAACCAGGATGAAGTCTTATCTCTGGGCGTGCCCGCACTTTTACCACATGTACAAGTGTGGACGCTGAGAATCACCCCAGCAGTTTCCCAAATGCTTAGGATGTTCTAGGAGCTGCTACCAACTTAAAAGCTGGTCTTTAGGTACTTCGGGTTGGCTTATATCAGAAGAAGTCCAACTATTCTGCTGAAAGGAAAGACTATAGTGGATCTTAGACTTTGCCAAAACTATACAAAATAAAACAAAGAATCTACAAAACCTGCTTTTTCGGGGCTGGGGAGATGGCTCAGTAGAATAAGCGCTTCCCTGGTAAGCGCAAGGGCCTGAGTTCAATCCTCGGTTCCGCAAGAAACAAAACAAAACAAAACAAAACAAAACAACCCTACTTTTTCATTTGACCAATCAGAATTTCAAACTTTCTGAGAACAGACCCACAGTTCTCCTCCCTCGTGCATGCAGTCCTAGAGTCCCCAGGACGCAGGGCCACCTCTTCTCTTCTCTGTCCCAGGGTTTTCCCCTGAAAACTAACACTGCATGAGAGGAAGAGGTGGGGAAAAGGTGCTGCCAAGGGCAAGACCCTCGCACCCTCATGGCTTTGAAAGCCTGGCTCCTCCTCGTGCCCGCCTCCTCTCTGGGCGCCCACTCCACAGACGAGGCTGTGGGGAGCTGGCCTGGTATGTGTGGTCCTCCTCAGTGGCACTGAACTGCGTGACTTAATTTAGATCCCCACTGTTTCAGTGTTATCAATTAGTTTCAGCCACCTGAGGAGGCCAAGGACGGCAACATGTACACGCTGCCAATGCAGAGGTCTCATGGAGTTGGGACTGTCAGCTCTGTGGAAATGTATCCCTCTCCTCTCGGCAGGAGAGGCCCTCAGTGGCTCCTAAAAGGCCACCCTTGGAGCTCTGGGGACAAAGGAGAACGTGGAAGACAGAGTGCCCTTAGCACACTCTCCATCCTTGCCCTGGAAATGAAGGTCAGCCGGCCCTTCCCAGGGAAACCTGGAAGAGCAGGCCACCAAGAAACTGCCACTGCCCCTTCTGCTGCCGGGCCACGGGCAAGCATGCAAACACCACAAACCGAAGCACCCGCAAGAAAACAGCACCACCACAAGCCCACACACAACAGAAAATGATGGGTTCGCCAGAAGCCCATGCAGCAGACAGCAACTGAGCCCAAGCGGCACCAGGAATCATTCCATAACCCATGTACACACAACTGCGTTCCAAACTGCAATCACTCTTCCAAATGAATAGCAGCCATTGAAGACAGTTTAGTCTTGAAAATAAACTCCAAAACATAAATTTTTAAAAAGCTGTTCTTCCCAGACCCTCAGTATGAAATGTGCATTGCACAGAGGCCTCCTGTGTATGCATGTGGCGGGACAGTCTTCAGCCCATACGTACTGACCCCAGTGCGAGAGGAAGGCACCCTACCACCCTGTCGTGACAAGACACAGGTGACCTGTGCAAGGGGCCCCTCAGGCTCCCTCTCACCTTTCCTCCAGGTGACAAGTCATGTTCTAACAGCTGCCCCTGGGACAGAGGGACTGGAAGTCTGTGGGAAGGTGAGAGCAGGCGGGAGTGCCTGGGAGCTTCCCTGTGCGCACTCCATCTCCAACCATGAGACAGCAGCCACGGGAAGGAGGGCACTAGGCGCAGACTGCAACCGCTCCCCAAGCCTTCACTTTAGGGAAGGGGCATCTAGATGCCACTAAGTGCCCTGGGCTTCCAGCTCTTTGCCCCACCTCAGGACCACTGACCCAGACCTACATAGAGCAGGGTGGAGGTGGATCTGAGGGTGCCAGGAGAGTACAGGTGCAGTGATCTGGGAGGGCTTGGGGTAGATGAGTGAGACCAGGGCTGTCTCTGCAGGGCCTGAACTCAGAGAAGCTGGGTCCCACAGGGAAGGAGGACTGAGGTGCAGAGGGCTCTCAGCCGAGCAGGAAGGCTGCTTTGTCTCAAGAATGTCCTGTGTACAGGGAAGTGGGGTGGGGACACCAGACCAGACTGGGCTCTAAAAGGCCTCATCTCAGTTAAGAACTTCCCATGTGAGGTTTACTTGCGACCCTGGGCTGGGACTTAGCAAGGGCAGCAGGGCCTTTGCTGTGTTCCCCACTCATTCCCATGTCTCAGGTTCCACCCCAAGTCTGCCACTTGTCCTGTGAAGGGAAAGGCTGGAGCTTCGATGGGACCCAGGGGAGAAAGGTGAGAGGGAACCTGAGGGGCCCCTTCCACAGAGGCTGTGGGTCCTCCAGGGGAGGCAGACTTCCCCAGGTGACCTCCAGCTCCCTCCACACCCTAAGGGAAGTGTGTGTGTGGGGTGTGTGTGTGTGTGTGTGTGTGTGTGGCTGGAAGATGTTCCCAGCAGCACCTTCACACCTCAGGCGGGAGGTCAGCCATGGCCCAAGCGTCAGGGTCCCTCGCTCTGGGTGACATTTTTGAAGGTTTCAGGCATTTTGCAATGAAGCAATCCTGCAGAGCCCTGGGTCTATGGAGGGGAGCCCTGTAAAAGTGACCTAGTAATACTACTGTAAGAATCCACACCAATCAATAATGTCATGAAAATGGAAACTGAGGGTGAAAGAAAAGCTGAAAAGCCTCTATGTTCTTGTAAAAGAAAACAGAGAGGGGGTCACTCCAGGAGCGTGATGTGAGATCCCAGCAGGCAGTGTGCTTGCTGGGTACAGGCCCAGCCTCAGTGTCACTGCAGCGATGATGCTATCAGGCTGACCAGGATGAAGGCAGACTGCAGACTGGCTATTCATTCTCAAAGAACTTTGCAGTTGGAAGGGGAGCTCATCTACAAAGCGGGGAGCTCAGAAGCACCTGGGCCCAAGGCGGGGCACCTGAGCAGGCTAGGACAGCATGGGAGGGAGACCCAACAGACACTCTCTGCACAGACAGAAAACTCACCAACACTCCTCAAAACTGCTAAAGAAAGAACCAAAACGAAGTATTAGCAGTCAGCAGACACAAATGCAAAACAAAAGCTTTAAAAAGCTGAGTGACCTTGTTGGGACAACTCCAGTTACGTTCTAGGCCCCAGCGCTGAGAGGGTCCCAGTGGCTTCTGTGGCACAGCAACCTCACTGCCTCTGCTGGCGCCCGGGAGACCCCACACCAGGGGCTGGGGCACCTGCACCGGAAGGAAAGCTTGGCTGGACAGAACCTGGCGTGCAAGGGACTGCGTGACACTCGTGGGAAATTAAATTGTATGTAGATCTGAAATACACTGAAGAAGCACTCTGGAGGATGAGAAGTTCTGAAGTTGACATGCAGACCAATCAGGTGTCAACACTCCAACCTCTGTGGGACAGGGACAGCCAGGTGGCCACTCTAGGCTGCCTGGCAGAGCGAGAGAGCTTCCCTGTCGGGGCCCCATGTGGCCTCAGGTCACACACATGCTCTTCACGCAGCAACATGCAGGGCGCACAGACACTTTCTGCCGGCTGCGCAGGACTGCAGTGGCCATGGAAAGCTGTGCCCTCGCGCCTGCCCAAGGAGCTCCTGGGACAGTAAACACTGAGGCAGCTGTAGCATCCTCATCTGTCTGCACAAAGAAGTGCCCTTGGTGGGGAGGACCAAGGTCAAGCAGGCCTGAGCGACCTCCCAGTCGGTGCCCAAAGCCCCTCACTGAGCCAGCCCTTCTTGCTTCTGCTTCTGTACCCAGGACTCTTGGGGTCCCGGCTGGCCAGTGTGCACACCGCTCCGGGTGCACCTTCTGCTCCCTGCTCAGCCAGCAGCTGCCCTGCATCACAAAGCTCTGATTACCTCCCGGACCTTCCCAGCTGTGGGCTGACCAGTGATCTAGGCTTTCAGCCCTTCACCCCATGTGCAATTTTCTCATGTCCCAACTCCTGTTCAGGGCAGCGCAGCTGGCCAACGGCCTGCTGGCTCTCTTCCACCTGTCTGTACCGACCACCTCCCGGGGCTCTCTCGATGGTTCCTGGGGCTTTGCTTCACCTTCCCTCTAATGTCCCACTCTCAGTTGATAAGCCTGAACCTTCCAGCACCACAGTCTGCAGAGACGCTTCAGTAACACTCAGCCTGCTCCCTCTCACCCGCAAACCTCTCTGCCAGCCTCTTGTCCCTTCTCAGTGAGCTGGCTGCCCCGCCCCTCCATCTTCTCCAGACCGCCCCCCACTGTGCTCGGGTCCACCTCACCTCATTCACCCGCAGCAGCCCTCCCAGCCTCACCTCAACGTCGGCTTTGGTCCTCACTGTTCTCCCCAGCCTCAGATGGCCATGCTACTTCCTCTACCTCCTGGTCTGCCCAGGGATCTCATAGGGAGGGCCATCTATAGTTCTCCCTACCACCTCTTACACCTGTACCCTTTGAACTATGGGAACTGTGCCTGGTGACATTCTGGAAGATCGCCAGGCAAGGCCTGCAGCACGCCCAATGCAACACCTTGGATTCATGGCTCTCTCCCACCCTGGCAGGGTCAAAGCCCCACTCCAGCTCCACACTCCAGGCCTACTTGCACCCAAATGGTGACTGCTAACTTGTTTGCTCTCTGGCAAGGCCCTCATTTCCCCATGGCCAGGCCTAGACCTATCAGGCCCGTGTCCTTGGTCACCAGCATCAAACAGGCTAGCAATGAGGCCAGCTCTCGGCGTCAGCCCTTTTCTTCACCATATCAGCCAGGGCCTCATCTTCCCACCACACATGCGGCTTCCTGCTCCAGAGAGTAGAGCCATCAGCTGTCCGCGCCTTTCCAACACTGTAAATGTGTCCCACTGCTACCCTTTAGGAAAGACATGGTGTGCTCCTGGCTTTATGGTTCTGCTGCTCAACTGACTGGCCAGGGACTCTAAAGGAAGCCGAGCCCACACAGGGCTGTGAGCTGAAGCATCGCTCAAAGGCCAGTCACAGGTGCTACTCAGCTGAAGGCCCAGGGCCACTGCCACGGCACCCTCATTACTACCAGCCCAGCTGCACACACAGAGCAGCCCAGCCATCCATAACACAGCTCCTCCTGCCCCGCAGAAGCAGACTGGATGCTTAGATGGTCTTGCAATTCTATTTTGACTGCTGTTTTTCTAAACGGAAAAACATCAGACAGCTGTATGAGGACCATAAACCCTCTTACTTACTGTTTCTTAGTCTCTTCAAATTTGTGCAGCTTTTTGCGGAGACCTCCTGACTTAAAACCTTGGCAGTGTGCTGCTGGTGCTCCAATGGTGACAACGTCGTAGTTCTGATCTGAATGACAGAAAGCTCTCCTCTGTTACTCTGGGCTCAGGCTGTGGACAAGCCAGCTACTGGGATATGCACAGCACTCGGGGACACTGCCCGGCAGCCCAGCTCCAGGCAGCCTTGGGTTCCCTTCATCCCACAGCGGGGCATCAGAGCATGTGAACAGAGAGGGCTTCTCCGGGCCTCGAGGTGCAGCCAGAAGGACTCTAGGAAGCTCCTGAGGCTTGTTTTCTCCCCTCCTGGGACAGGAAGCTGAGGGGAGGGATTTGGATTCTCTACAAAGATCTCTCAAAGGTCTGTAGGCTGTTCCTTCACTGAACCACCTAGCAGCACAGCCTCCAGGGAAACTGGGGCAGACATGGGGCAGCGCAAGGACCAAGAATCCAGGGAGAAGAGGAATGGAACAACAGCACAGGGGAAGAAGTACCTGATCCTCCATCATCTTGAACTCTCATCCTCTGTATATGCAGGTTTGTGGGAACAAATTCTAACTTTTTATCTGCTTTCAAACTGCTTGCTTTAAATGAGGGACCTAAAAAATGCAATGAGAAAACAAATGTGTCACCCTTTGTCACAAGTGCCAAGTAGAAAAATGGTACTCTGCCGCTATACCTGCATATAAGCAGATGCCGCAACAGTGGCCTAGAAAACCCCAAGCCATGCACAGGCACACGGCCTTTGCAGATGGGGGGCTGAGGGCAGCTCACCAGCCAAGAGCCTTGCTCGGGGTGCTTAGGCCATGACGTGAGCCAGAAAGGACCAGCTGCAGCAGGCTGCAGCCCAAGGAGGCCGCGCCCTCTGAGACTCAGCTCACAACTCAGAGACCTGACACACAAGGTGATCCCGAAGCATGGTATCAGCACCACTCTCAAGAGGCAAATGAGTGCGTGCCACAGACTGCTGTCCCAGCCTGGAGAGTGCTGTCACCCCAGATCTCAGCAGCTGGTTGAGCTGCAGCCCCCTCAGTTCCGGTAAGGCCCGCCCACCACCACAAGGCTATCAGTGCAGTGCAGCGCTGGTCAGCCCCAAGGACACACAGTCTGTCCTGGGCGTGTGTATGCTTGGTTGGTGAGAAGGGCTATTGTTAAATGGTGGTCAGAGGAGTAGACAGAGTCAGCAGTCCACCTAGTACATCGCTGTCTACAGCTGGGTGCTCTGCATTTTGCCATAGGCTTGAACTTCCTCGATACTGTCACTCACGCTGTGGCCCTCAGACCAGCAGCACGGGGGTCCTATCACTCAGAGACATGCAGACTCCCAGACTTGCTTTTTAATCAGATTCTCTGCTGACATTTTTCTGAAAAACTGAAGGCTGTGTGGGTGCCACACTTTCCCAGGTAGCATCCGTTCAGCACAGGCCAGGTGCCCAGTTCCACAGGCAAATGCTACCATTTCTCGGTGGTACAATCAGACCTGGTCTTGCACTCACATCTAACCCACGCGGACCAACATTTGGTCTCAGCCAAGTACATGGGCAGGTTCCTATGTTCCACTTCAAAAATTCATAAAGGACTTAACAGTGTTCCTTAAACCCTAAATAAGATTATGTAGAGAACAAGAGGATGAGACAGGGAATAATTTAAAATGCTAAAACAATAAATAAAACAATGAAAAGCCAAAATCTTTTTTCAATCTGGGAGAAAAGAGAAATGAGTTGAGGACAGCCTTCTAAAGCTACTCAGAGGTTATTTTGAAAATCAGACAGTATCTTTTAAGAATACATGGTGTAGGGCTGGATTGCGGCTCATGTGGCTCAGTGGAGCCGCTGCCAGCAGGCACAAGTGCTAGATTCAATCCCCAGCACCTCAAAAAGAGAAGATGAAAATGTGAGGTATTCGAGCTTTAAATGGAAGATTCCACTGACAATTTACATGTTCAATTAAAGTAACACTGAATACTGAAACGAGAACATCTAGAAAGCTGCTCTGTTTAAAGGCAACTGTAAGTCTTAAGCCTTTCAGTTGCCTCAGGGGTATTAGACCAAGAAGGAAGACATGACACAAAACAGCCAGTCTGCAAGTCTGCCTCCCCCGGTCTCATCCTACAGGGCTGTTCAGGCAGATAACACCACAGAAAAAGTCTCGCTACAATTCACTGATTTGTCTTTCTGGTAGGATCTGAAAAACCCACATTTGAAAGAATTCCATTTTTACATGAGAACCTATTTTTAAAATCCCACCCAAGAGCATCAGCGTGAGTGTGCCAGTGACCTGAGCCCTGACCTCCAGCCAGACAGGGGTTGGGAGCCTCTTCAGGGCAGGGTTGTACCCACCTTTGTACTGATGGAGGTCAGTCAGGTTCTCCTGGTACGTGAGGATGATGGTCTGGTATTGGGTGACAATCTGGCGCCGGAGGCTCTCCCAGCAAGGGGACAGTTCCCCCAACTCCTCCAGCTCACAGACTCTGCAAGGGTGACACAACCATGAGACCTGGGGAGCAGGAGGGGAGGGGCCCCACCAAGGGGTCAGAGGTGCAGGGAAAGGGCACTGATGCCCAGTGAGGGCCAGGCAGTGGTTACACCGTCAGCCTGAAGGGCAACCACAGGCGGAGGACAGAAGCTACACATCAGGCAAATCCATGACCACGTGGGGAGTGGGCAGACAAGCTCTTACAAGAGCACGGTCCAATGTTCAAGGGAAACTAAGCAGAGGTGGGAACAAGGGGAAAGGCCATCAGGGAGTGAATGTGTCAGGATGGCTGAACCCCTGCTACCAGCACCGAGCCACAGGCACAGCCTGCTCTTGACTGGGCGGGATGACACGTGACCCTGCAGCACGGAGGGCTGGAGGCCCTTGAGTCACCACCCCAAGGCCACCATTTTCCTTCGCAGTGCTTCCTCGCCTGCCAAGTGCCCCAAGTGTGGCCTTCCTGCCCGCCCTGCCCCAGAAACAGAGCCAGATGGGAAAGCTGCTCAGCCACAGCTGGCTCCTCAGCAGTGGGGCTCCCGGAGTTCAAGCTGCAGACACTGGCCTCTTCTCACATGTCATCTTTTCTAGGTTGGGCCAATGACTATAAAGATCCAGGCCCTCAACTATTCTCCCCTTCAGTGCTCTGTAAGTGCAGAGCTCTCTGAGAGCGAGAGCTCCATGGAGTCAGCCCGAGCCTGGCTGTGGCCCCGGCCCCACAGTGTGCTTGACAGGAGCACGGGGAGGGAGTGCAGAAGGGAGAAGGAGAAGAGGAGAAAGGAACTGTTATCCTCAGAAAAATACAGCTGAGCAAGTGTAAGAGCTGAAATGTGAATTCTAAGCTTAGCTCAAGAATAACAGCAACGTCATCATAATAGCAGCACATGATGGATCTTTAAGAAAGGAGACCATATTAGGAAGAGGAGGACTGAGAAAGCATAAAAGCCTCAACTCATCTCAGGAAACCAGCAGCTAATCCTTGGCAATAATTAATGAAGACAGGACGACTCTCAGCGCATACTTAGAACAGAGGATACACAAAAACCACTAATGGCAACACGAGGATACACAAAAACCACTAATGGCAACTGTGTCTGTAAAGAAAGCAGAGGACCCCATGTTTTCCTTTGGTTGGGAGGTGCTCATTTTTAGGAATCTATTAAATTGTCTTTTAAAACATTTGTCATTCCATTCCTACTAAAATAGCAAAAGCAACATAGAGAAGCAGCCGGTACAGTCAGGGCAGTGGTGGAACTGAGGTCCCCATGCCCTGCCAGCCGCTGGCCAGCTGGCCACCCTCTCTTCACATCTCTCCCGGTGCTTCTCCTTGTGCTAACCGTTGCTGGTTCACAGAGGCCAGGCCTGACCCCGCCCTCCCACACGCAGACACACTGGGCTCCCGTGGGGTGGCCCACATCTGCAGTCCCTGACGTGCCTGGTGTCCATCTAGCCCAGTGCCCCGTGTGAACTACACAGCTACGCTAATGACGATGACAATGTCAGTTTGGACTAAAGCGCCTGTCTAAGGAATGAGCTCTCCGAGCCTGAAACACACCGATAATGGGACAGCATTTCATATTCAACAATTAAAAACATGGAAAGTGAAGATACATGGAAAAGTACGTGGCACCTATGTAAATATATGCAAATATGGGCAAAAATGAAAGGAAAATTTTAAAAATTAAAATTATAAAATATGTACATTTGGAGAGATAAAGCAAACAACAAAATACTAAAAATGGATGAATTTAACTGAGAGCGAAATTAGGGAAACTATGCCTTTCACAATAACATCCAAAAAAATGAAATACTTAGGAATCAATCTCACAAAGAATGCAAAAGATTTATACAGTGAAATTTATCAGAAAAGAGATTGAAGAGGATTTGAGAAAATGGAAAAATACTACATGATCCTGGATAGGAAGAACCAACATTGTGAAAATAGTCATACTCCCAAAATTGTTACACAGATTCAATGCAATTCAAATTAAAATACCATTAGTATACCTCACAGAGCTAAAGAAGGCTTTCCTCAAATTAATCTGGAACCAGAAGAGACCCAGATTATCAAAAGCAATCCTGGGAAACAAAGGAAAGGCAGGCAGTATCACAACACCTGACCTGAAATTATACTATAAAGCGACTGTGATAAAATCAGCAGGGCGCTGGCACACAGACAGACCTGAGGATCAGTGGAACAGAACAGAAGATGCAGACATAACTGCAAACACACTCAGCCACCTTGTCTTTGATAAAGGGGCCAAACAGGCTGCCTGGAAGAAAGACAGACTCTTTAATAAATGGTGCTGCAAAAACAGGCTTTCCACATGCCAAAGGCTAAAACTAGACCCATGTCTATCACCATGCACAAAGCTACAGTCAAAATGGGTCAAAGATCTAAATATTGAAAAAGAAACACTAAATCTTCTAGAGGAAACTGTAGTTAGAAATCTTAAAGAAATAGGGGTATCTAGAGAGTTCATGAACAAAACCACACTACATGGGAAATACTTCAAAGAATCAACAAGTGGGATCTCATCTTTTTGAAGATTTTGCACTTCAAAGCAAATCTCCAACAGAGTAAAAAGATAACCCAGAAACTAGGAAAAAATTATAGCTGACGGTCCCTCCAACAAAGGCCTTCTATCTAGAATATATGAATAATTTTTAAAAATCAGGTCTCCCAAATTCAAAGACCCAACCCAAAAATGGGCATCTGAGATGAGTATACACTTCTGAGAGGAAGAAATACAAATGGCAAATAAATATATGAAAAAATGTTCAACGTCACTGGTCATTTGAAAAATGCAAATTAAAACAACACTAACATTCCATCTCACACCAGAAAGAATGGCTAACATCCAGAAGTCAGCCAACCACAAATGCTGGAGGGGCTATGGAGATAAAGGAACCCTTCTATGCTGTTGGTGGGAGTGCAGACTGGTACAACCACTACGGAAATCAGTGTGGGGATTCCTTAAAAAGCTAGGATTGGAGATCCCATTCAAGCCAGCTAGCTCTCTTCTGGGTATTTTTCCAGAAGAACTGAAAATCTCATACCACAGTGATATATGTGCACCCATGTTTATAGCAATGCAATTTCTCATAGCTAAATCCTGGAAACAACCCAGACAGATGCCTACCAAGAATGGGTAAAGAGGATGTGGTATGTTTACACAATGGAGTATTATTCAGCTATAAAACAGGATAAATTTGAGCCTTTTGTCAGTAAATGGATGCAACTAGAGAACATAATCTTAAGTGAAATACATCAGACCTGTGTGTGCAGACATCATAATGTCTCCTTACTGTGAGAACTGAAAGAGAAAAATGGACTCTGAAGGGTACAATAGATACTGGGAAAAGGGGATGAACGTATTCAAAAGCAAAGTGTTACTGAGTTGAGAAGAAGGACAGGAGATGGAGTGGGGAACAGAGATTTTATCTAAGTATGTAAGCAGGATGGTTTGGACAACTGTACTGTGCATTTCTGCTGGTCTATGCAAAGAAGCAGTTAATACTTTAATTTGTTTCATCTCCTTTTTTCAATTGTACTTTTTCTCTTCTAAATTTCTTTTTTTTTATTTCTTATACATTTCCTTCTTTTTTTCTTTCTTCTTCCACTTTTACATGCATCATCCAATAATATGAATAACTGGTTGGAAGACAATGCTATATATTACAACCAATACTGTGAAATTCATATTACTTTGTTAAATGAAACTCTGTATCACTCGTAAATTTTTCTGTTTTAATTCTAATTGGTACTCTCTTTAAAAAATATAGAAAATAAATAAAAGTGAATGAATTTAGGTGAAAGACATCTGCATATATGCTGCATTATTCTGGCTATTTTCTCTGAATTTCCTTCAAGATAAAAATGAAAATAGCCATATTAGAACAGTGAAGCTTGTTTGTCTTGTTTTCTTTCACAGTTCCTACACAATGCTAGTAGCTGACATCCTTATATCACAAGGAGTAAAAATGGCAGTCTGGCTCAGTGAGACAAATTTGCAGGTCCTCTGGTCTACAGGACCAGCATGCACCTGGTAGGTCATGCTCACCCTCTGGAGCCCTTACTTGTGGCAGCTACTTCCAACTTCCTGAAGGACAAGTAAGAGGCGCAAGAAAGGGGAGGAGAAGGGAGGGGAAAGTGCTGGGCACCTCTGGGGCATGAGCCCTGACCTGGGGGATCCTCACTCTGCCTTAGACAGAGGGCAAAGGACAGGTCACAGTCCAGCTAAGCGCGGGCCACAGCTCCAAAAGGAAGGGGCGCAGGCCATGCAAGACTCCTTACCTGGCTGCGTCTTCTTCCAGCAGCAGCTTCACAAACTGTCGGGGCACGTGCAGGGACAGCACACTCTCCGCCATCTGCTCCAGGATCCGAAGGTGGTTACCATCCGTGGTTGGGAAGCGGTACATGCGGCAGATGGCGCCACCAAACACTGAGGTGGCAGGACAAGAGACACATGCTGGCCCTGACCTGCCCCATGGCCCTGGTCTTTGCCACAGATCCCCAAGTGACTAAGCCTGAAGGGTCCATCCCCATGGCATTTAATCATCTTATCCCAGAAGATGTAAAGGGCAAAGGGCTAGGGTGGGGAAGGTGTCAGTCACTGAGCCCACATGAAACAAGAAAGAAAAAGAAGGAAGAGCCCTTCCTGGAGGCACTACATTGCAGGAAGATGGCAGTGAGGAGCCAGGTGGGGCCACTGGGGCATGGCTGTGGAAGACACCGCAGGTGGGGAGTGAAGGGTGATCATGGCTGCCAGAACACGCGTGAAAGAGTGCCAAGGTTGAGAAAGCTGTTTACCTGATTTCAGTAAAGTGTCTTTTCGCAATGAAGCATATTTAGATCGAATTCCCAAGGCCTCAGTCAAACTCTCATCAACAGGCAGCACCATCTAATGACGTGGACAGAAAAGAACTGAGATGCAGATCACTCTGGTGTGTTCCACAGAAATGGGGGCCTTGGACATCCCGAGACACCTCTTAGCTGAACGTGCACTGAGAACTCTGCTGGGCAAGCACTGCCGAGCCAGGCACGCACACACGCACGCACACACACATGCACGCACACACATATGCACGCATGCACACATACACGCACACACGCACACATGCACGCACACACATATGCACGCATGCACGCATGCACACACACACGCACGCACGCACACACATATGCACGCATGCACGTATGCACGCACGCACGCACACACACACACACACACACACACACACAGCCCTTGTATACAGAGCAGCCCCAGCATCCCCATGCAGCCCCATGGTCCCAAGCTCTCTCCCTGCACATCTCCTTAGTCATTCACTGGTGCTGCAGGGTTCTGGTATGCAAAATGAGAGGGGTGCAGAGACACCGAGCAGGAACATTCTCAGAGCCGGGACTCGGGCTTGCTTTGGACACAATGGGATCTCTGCATCTTACAGTGACTGCTCAGCGGTGTTAGGACCCAAAATGAGAATGCTCACTCAGAAGCACAGCAGAGTCCGGTGAGACTGTGCACTGGGAAGCAGACGCCAGGGATTTGAGGGGAAGCCCCTCCCCTCCAGTGGGAGGGGTCTGTGGGGCCCAAGTGTGTCTGAGAGAGATAGCTGTCAGCAACATGTTGGAGGGGTGGTTTGGGTCTCACCTGCCTCTTAAACCTTCAGCTTTGGGCCAACTTGCTCCCCTTGACTCTGCCTTGGAGGTGGCCAGCGAGAGCAGAGCAGAGGCAGGCTCCAGGGCAGCAGGGCCTTGCAGGCCGAGCCTGCAGGCCTTTGTTTCTACCTGGACCCTTGCCTGGCATGACATCAGGCAGCGGGCCCTGTCCTGTGCTGAGTAGAGGCTCCGTAAGTCCCTGCAGCAGGTCCTTCTTCTGAGGAACAGGAGGAAGATGGCTCACTTACCCTCCCATTGATAGTGTCCACAGACCGAGTCACGGGGGGCCGCTGGTCTGACTTCTCCTCCATCTGCCAGCCGATCACGGTGATGTTTCCCACACGGTCACTCTCTGCAGACCTGCCACAAGCAGCATGCTTTGGTGAAGGACTGTGAGAGCCCTTCTGCTTAAAAGCAAACCTCTCAGCTTTCCTGGGTCACTGGGGGTCCCCAGAATGGCAAGGCCCAGCCACAGGTCAGTCTGTCACCATTCTTGGTTATTGGCCCCTCTGGGAAGGCATAAAAGGAAACTGCAGGGCATGGGAGAGGGCCACATCTTACATCTTACAGGAGTGGCATGGAGCTAGCTGGTGAAGGTGGGAGGCTTCCCTGAGGTGGAGCTGCCCTAGGCCCACCCTGCCGACGTGATGCAGGCCACCTCAGAGCCAGGGCTTGAAAGGAGCTTTTCCTGGCACAGCAGGTTAGTTCCAAAGCCTAGACCTGGACTCTAAGACCACCAAAGATTTCCCAAGCCCCTGAATCCTGAGGTGATACAGCGTGTGCCACTGCAGCCCTGCTCAGCCTTGCCTGTAAGACCCCTTGGGGCTGACCGAGTCTGTGCCCATCTGGGGCGCCCTGGCATTTTATTTATGATGCCTGACTTAGGACAGTTCTAAATTTGTATGTGGTCACATGCACTGAACATTTCTTTTATGACATTTACTATTCTCTTGCCTGGAAAGACCCTTCCTGCATTATCCATCCAATAATCCTATTTGGAAAAGGGAAATATTCATTTCTTAGACTAATCTCTGACCCAACTAGATAGAGTTCCAGCCAGATCACCTAAGTAGCTCTCCTCAAGCAGTCTTTCCCTTCATAGGAATTCTCTTTTCATTTTACCTAAGATCCTTCCTCTCTCCTGAATGCAGTTCTCCTGACACATTCGAGACTGTTGGCAGAGCTCTCCTCCACTCTGCAGGGACAGCTATGTGCAACACTGTTGTTACTTGTTATTCTAGGAAACTGGGTTGCACAGATGAAGGCAAAGAGAGAAAGTCCAGCCTGCCTGGGAGGTTGCTGTCTACTGGGAGGCGACAGAGTGTAGAGGACTGCACTTAAGTCATCAGCTAACACTTACAGGCATGCACACCCAACCTCCTCTAGGGCTGAGCTCAGCCACACCTGCTTTGCCCACGGGCACCTGCTCAGCCGACGGGCACAGTACGCGTCTCCGTCCCAATGGATTGAGGGGTTCACGCTGCATCACCTCATGGACACCCTCCCTCCTCAGAGGCCAGGTATTCTCTCACAACAGGAAGTGGCCTTTTCCCACTCTGCCTCTGGACTTCACAACTCCAGATCCCTTCAAAGGAACCAGATTAAATGCCCACCTTAGTGTTAGATGCAACCGATGATGCCTGTCCTGGAGCAGATCCTTGACAATGAACGTTCCAGAGCCCAGTAAATACATCTGAGGAGGAGGGACGAGAGCATGAGGGTGCCAGCCTGGCCTCTGGTGCCCACAGCACACTGCACCCCACCTTGGGAGCCCAGACAGAGGCTCAGAAAGCAGCTCCCAGAGACAAATACAAGCTTAAACATGAGTGAATTTGGGAGCCCAAGTGAAACCAATCTTGTGCTCACCTCTCAGTTGAATGATTAACTATAAAATGGAAAGAAAGCCCAGGGACAACAACCTGTTACTTAACTGTTCCCTGAGATCTATCCTTGACATCATATACAGATAGCTTGATTTGTGTCATCTGATTGATAAGAGAGTCCTGAAAGAAGGCAATGCTGCTTAGGAAGATAGGGTTGTTGGTTCCCTAGAACAGAACAGAACAGAAAATAGTTGGTTTGGAAAAACACAAACGTTTTCACAATGAGAAAGTTACATTTTTACTGACTTTGATCAACACATATGCTAATGGCTCTTGAAGGATGATAACAACCAAAATACTGCTTTCTGAAAGAGGAAAGCATAGTCTGACGCGGACCCTCAGAGATGCAGACACAGCAGGCAGGCCTGCTGCACAAGCTGGCCAGGGGCTCATTTCTAAGGCCTCTCAGTCCCATACTTGGGAGGAGGACTTTCCCAAGGGAAAGCCAGGTCAGCGCCCACATGCGCTCCCAGCATCCCCGCCTCAGGCGGCTCTGCTACCTTGGACTGTCCTTTAAGACATAGCCAGGCAGGCAAAAGAGGAAACGAATGGCTTAGGCTATTATTTCTAGGCTCCTATATTTGGAGTAATTGAAGTCTGGCTTTTTACAGCTATCCTTTTTAGGAGCAGCTGCTAGTTTCCAGATTACAGGTGGTTACATCCTGGCAGCTTCACCTTGCCCTCAAAGCAGATCACGTGCTTTCTCTCAGGCTGTGCTTAACTGCCTCTGCCAAGCTGTCACTGGCCGGCCTGTGCCCTCTGGTGCCCCCTCTGGCCTGCCCTCCCTGCAGCTGTGGATCTAGCGCCTCAGTGCCCGCGGGACAGCCTGGGCCCCTGCCGTCTCTGTCATCATATGGCACCTTGCTTGATGTGTGGGCAGTGCTCAAAAAATGCTCAGACCACATGACGGGTCAACCTGAAGCTGGAAACAAGTGTCTAAGAGACCGAAGAGAGACCTGTCTTGTAACATGTAAAATCACTCCGAGAGGCTGTTTCTATGTAAGATTATGCCTCACTGTTTTTATGTAAAAATAGAAAAATAATTTGATAGTTCATATTACAAATAAAACCCTGTAGAATTTTATGCCAGCAACTCCTACACTTTGTATATAACTTACATAATGTTCTCACTATCTAAAAGGATTTTGTAAAATTTTGTGAATATATACCAAGAATTTAAAGGGTAAACATGTAACACAAAACTCAAAAGGATATAAAAATAAAAACCAACAAAAATAGGGTTATGCCCAGTGAGGGGCTGTTCGTAGTTAACTCTTCCAAATGTTGGTTACTGAGCACAATTTTCTGCAGCTAGCAGCCAACTGGAAGTGGTGAGGAGGACTTAGCTCTCACCTATTCACACGCGCCCAGCCTTCAGCACCGCTGCTCAGGGACCCCCACCAAGACTGATCTGTTCTAGTAAGGCATGGCAGACGGAAATGCCACTCATATGAGTGAGAATGATGGAGGATTTCGGCTCACAACTGCGTACTGAAACCCACAACAACTAACACAAACACAACGAACAGCAGCTGTAGAGCCCGGCAACCTTCCCGTCAGGGACACAACACCATGTGAGCATCCCAGGCCCCCCAGACAGGAGAAGTGGTGGCACCCACCTCGATAATCTCTGTCTGCGCGTGCTTTGTCCAGAAGGCCTGAGGAGGGGTGGTGACACTCACTGCTACAAAACTATTTGGTTTCCGATCTAGCGACGGGGTATGCAGCTCACTGCAGGCTACAGAATCGAGAGGAAAGAAATGAATCCTCTAAAACCAAGCTCCAGTTAGTTCCAAGCAAACCCAGAGAAAACATGAAGTGATACTTAAAGGAGTAAGATGGTCCCTGTCGGCTGTCACAGGGAGATGATTTTTTAAATTTTTAAAACTTGAAAATTTAAAACTTCTTTGCATTCTTCCTAATCACTGCCGCCCACAAGGCAACAAGACCTTCACCACAGCGTACAGTTGTGCAGAAGGCAGTGTCTGTGTCTGACGCCTTCACACGAAGCTGACAGTCTTGCGTGGGGCCACCCACGTGCACCTACTGATGGACCCTAACTAGCGGCTCCAGCGAGCTGAGCCAAGGGGCCAGGGAGCCCACGGAGTGCAAGCCCGCGAGCCGCAGCTCTGCAAGGCCAGGCCGTGACTGTGGCCAACCATGAGGCCCCAGTGCCCGAGGGCTTGGTGTGGGGGTGGCTGCTAGGTAGAATCCAAATTCTATGGCAACATAAAGTGGTTTGGTTTTTTTAAAGTCATTGCTCATTTATTCTCCTTAAAGACTCATCTGAAATGCAAGATTATTAAAAATGTTACTTTTCAGAACTTAAGATATGTAATAGGACCATTTCAGTTAGAAAAATGTATCATACTAAGCATTTTGAAATAGATCACAAGTCTCAATTCTCCATTATGGAAATGACCCAGATGAAAAATTATCATGTGTCACTAAATCTATCAAGTTCTCTGATACAAAATTCCCTGTGAAAGGAAAACAAGCCCCACTGCCGCTGCACTATGGCATGCTACTGACAGCCAGGCACTTCTTATCAACAAGATAGTAAGACATAAAACAGTGTACACCCTGGAAGTGACAAGCTATATGGCAAACCAAAGCACAACACGAGTAAAAATAACTAGGTCTGTCTGGAGATACGTAAGTGGCCAGAGGGCCACCTTTAAAATTAAGAACACATTAAAATGTATAAACTTGCCTTTTGTCTGCCTGATGATATCAATACACTTACCGCCACTCAAAGGTATACTTAAAAAAGGCCAAGGGTACATTTTATGGAACATATAGTGTATCATAATTAAAAATATATTATCAACCCTAATTTAAAAATATGTTCTCATGCTCACAATAGCCAAGACAAGTACCCAGGAAAAGCAAAAAATGGCCGGATGGGATGCAAAGGCATTCACAGAGACAAAAGAGAAGTGGGGAAGAAATTAAGAAAACACAAAGCAAGGGAGGCAGGGATGAAGCTGGCAGGGCAGGGAGGGCATGCCTGGCTGGTCCGAGGGGGTGTAGTGGAAGGGCTGTACCCCTCCCGCTCGCCTGGGGGGGGGTCCTGGTGGCCGCTGTCCGAGGCTGCAAGCTGCGGGGGGACACCCGGCCGCTGCGCATCCGCCCACGCTGCTCTTCCAGTTCCAGTCCTGTTCCAGCTAGCCTCCCGCCATCAACCTCGCCCCCAGCTCCGCCTTCTCTCAGCACACACACCCGTGTTTTAGGGTCCACTGATCACTCAGCTGCGCCTCCGTCTTTACTCCAGACCCCCTGCCTCCTGTTTTGGGGTTCTCGATCGTTTCCACAGCTGTGAACATGCGTCTGGAAGCCCCTGCCTTCTTCTGAGGAACAGCCCATGGCACCGTTTAGACCAGCATCTGCCGTGACACGTTCTTTGGTTTTTAAGGTTTGAAAAATGTCTGTATTGAGCCCCAAGTCTGAAAGGATGTTTTCCCTAGGTAGTTATTTTCTCTAAGACCTTTAAATACACTGTCTCTGGGCTTCTATTTTTTTCTGCGATGAAGTCAGCCATCAGTGTAATTATGGCTACTTTGAGCACCGTGTGTGTGTGTGTGTGTGTGTGTGTGTGTGTGTACACGCGTGCATTTTCTGGCACCTCTGACAATTTTCTCATTGTGTTTGACTTTCAATAGTGTTACTCTGATGTATCTAAGGACATTTTCCTTTATTCTGTGACATGGTGTACTTTATTACCTTGGGAGACATGTTCAGCTATAAATACTGCTTCTAGCCCTTCTCTTTGTATATGTCTCCTGGGACACAAATGTGTGCTACATATGTTCACTGATTTTTTTTTTTTTTTTTTCAGAACCGGGGATTGAACTCAGGCCCTTGCGCTTGCCATGGAAGAGCTTATTCCACTGAGCCATCTCCCCGGCCCCTGCTCACTGATTTTTAAAAAAATATATATTTTCTTCAGACCCAGTCCTAGCCCAGGTCCGGTGAGTGTGCGGAGAGTTTCCTGCTACCCTGCGCCAGTGGGACCAGTCCCAGCCCAGGCGCAGCGTGGGCCGGACCCTCTCCCAGCCCCTCGGGCCACCCCCCACCACTCTGCAGTGCCTCCCCCACCCCTCCCGACCAGTATATATTTTCTTCTGTCTTATTTTTTCCATTATTTTGTACCTCTGGCTTCATTTTGGAAGCTTTCTTCTTGACCTATATCTAGAATCACCAAATTTCTCTTCAAACATATCAAAGCTGCTTTTACTATCTACCCAAAGATTTTTAAAAGCAGTTATTTTATTTTTTTAATTCTACAGTGTCCACTTGGTATGGTTTTCTAACTCTCCAATGAGGTATTCAATACTGTCATTATGTCAGCATGAAGTGATGGGCTAAATGTTGGGGGAGGACATTGCTATGTGAAAATCCTGCTCCTCAGGAACCTGGGCCAGGTTCGCAGGTGGGACCACTGGAGGCAGACACCTGCTGGCAGGCAGCGGAACCAGGACTTCCAGCCTGCAGAACTGCGAGGAAGAGGTGCTAGGCTGAAACCACCAGTCTACGACACTCCGCCGTAGCTGCTCAAACTCAAAAACAGAAGCAACACAGTTTATATCTATGTGGCTTACCTCTATGTCTGGAGCCTGAGGAATCTGTCTCTATTTTTATCATCTGTGGTCTCTTGCCATGTTTCTGAGAATTCATGACTTTATGCTGAATGTTGTATTTTTAAAAATTGTAGAAATGATCTGAAGCCCAGGCAGGTGCCATCTTTCTTGGAGAAGCCTGGCAACTGCTTCCCCCTGGTTCCAAAGAGCAGGGCACCTTTGGGTACCCACACACATCTGTTTCAGGTTCCCTTTGCTTGAAAAAGTACAAAGTGTTCTGCTGGCCCCCTTTCCCTTGGGGACCCCCATACAAAGAGGCTGCCAAAATCATGGCTCAGCCTCTGTCCTCAGGACCTGGCTCCCAGGAGTCCCTGGCTGCCTCCATTTGCAACCCCCCACCCATAATATTAATTCTCTGGAGATCTGGAAAAGATAGGTCACAGATTTTGCTCCTTCTTTCTAGTTGTCTTTGATGGTAAGATTCTAACTTTGTGGGAGTTTTGTTCCTTCATTTAGAAGCAAGTAATCTTTTTCCTTTATCCTTGTAACGTAGAATTCTCATAAGGAGATGCTTGGCAACTTGTGGAACATATGAGATCCACCCTTCTCTCAAGAAAGAATTTTTAGTTTTTATTTAATCTGACTGATTGATTTGCAGTACCGGGGACTGAACCCAGGACCTTCACACTCAGCCACATTCCCAACCTTCTTTTATTCTTGAGACAGGGTCTCATTAAGTCATTAAACTGCCCAAGCTAGGTTTGAACTTGGGATGCTCCTGTCTCAATCTCCCAGAGTACGGGGATTACAGAAGTACACCATCACAACAGGTAGGAAAAGAGTCTTCTGGTATTTATGACCCTCTGCTCCTGTTTCTGTCTCTTTTTCTTCAGGGTCTCCTAGCAATTAAATATTATAATGCCATATATTGTGGTTATCTCTTCACTCAAAATCTCTGCTTCTTGGTAATTTTTGCACTGTGAAATTATTCCTTCATTTGTTTTATGGATTCATGACAGTTTTCAGCAATGTACCATTGATTTTTTAAAAAAAGTCTTCTATTATGAGATGGGGGGGGTGGTGATGGCCAGAAACTTCCTGCACTGGGTAGGGGACATAGCTTGGCAGTATAGGTGCCTGCCTAGCAAGTACAAGGTCCTGAGTTCAATCCCTGGTACCAAAAAGAAAAGGGGGAGGGAGGAAAAGGGGGAGGGGAGAAGGGGGGGAAGAAGAGAAAGAGGAAGAGGAAGGAGGATGAGGAAGAGGAAGAAGGGGAGGAGGAGGGAATTTCTTGCATTGGATGGAACCACACCTAAGAAGATAAATTTTACAATATTATAAAATACATCCTCTTGACGTGTACAATTCAGTAGCTCATAAGGTACTTACAGAGTTGTAATCCATTACATTATCTATTCCTGGACATCACCATCACTTCAAAAGGAGAAAATCCGTACTGATAATAATCACTCACCATCACACTTCCCTCCCATTTGTTTCTGTATGGATTTGTCTAATCGAGACACTGACTATAAGTGGAACGACACAGGATGTGGCCCTCTGTGCCCAACTTCTTCCACTTGGCATTTCGCCAGGTTCACTAGGCTCCAGCAAGCACTGGCACTTCCTTCCTTTCTAGCGAGGAGTCCTGGACATCCCACACACTGCTTATCCATGCATCAGCCAGTGAATATATTGGTTTTGAATTTTGATTATTACAAATAACATGTATCTTGTTTCTTTTGTAAATTTTTAATTAATTAATTATTTGGTACAAGGTCTCGCTACACAGCTTGGACTCATAGTGCTCTTCCTGTCTCAGCTTCCCAGTGCTGAGATTACAGGTGTGCACCACCACACCCAGTTTCAGGACCAGCAGAGTGCCTGGGGTTCTGGGACTGGCACAGCATGCGGTATTGGGAATCAAACTCAGGCCTTTGTATTTGCTAGGCAGTCGCTTAGACTGCTGAGCTGTCTCCTCAGTCCTCATTTCTTTTGTATTGAAAGACTTTTCTGCAGGACATGGAATTCTTATTTGACTGTCTTTTTTTTTTTTTTTTTTTTTTTTTTTGTGGAACCAGGGATTGAACTCAGGCCTTGCGCCTGCCAGGGAAGCACTTATTCCACTGAGCCATCTCCCTGGCCCCTTGACTGTCTT